GGTCCTGAGCCAAGCTGCGTTTGTCTTGGTTTCCGCACTCTCAAGTCGATCCGTGGAGCTGTACGCACTAAGATGATGCTGATGTAGCTGCATGCCTATGCTAGAAGTGCTGATTCTAAAAATCGTGCTTACTAAGGCCAGTACTTAGTATACTATAAGTACTGCCTGTGTATGATTTTTAAGGAGTCGCACACAGTATGCACTCCCAATCTGTGTGATGTAATAGTGATTAGAATTTTGATAATAATATCGCGTTTGTAGAGTAGGGCAAAAGTTCTACCATGCCCTTTTTTCCAGCATCTTGCCGTCTATAGACTACATCTAGGCCTAATACAGTGTACATTTGTAGTAGTACGACAATACATTATAAGGTAGGTTTAGTGGGACAGTCTATGTCAGTGTAACAGGAATAGGGCAATTTCACTGATGCTGGTAGTAATAGTGATAGTGGTGATATTAGGGCTCTCCTTTCTCAACTCTATAGTGACAATATAGTATCAGGTAGATGATAGTTTGACCACTGATTTCGATTATGTCTACCATATGCCTCTCTTGTAGTCACTGGGTGTAGCTTTCGATAGACAATGCAAAGCCACAGGCACCGTTTTTCTGCATGATCAGCTTAGTGGTTACCAGGCCTTCATCTCGCAAGGTACTGTCATTTACCCTCTTCAGGCTAACTATAAAATTGCTACCGTATCCAGCTATAGTTTGGCGATTATAGAACGTCTCCTTTCTATCTAAGGGCACAACAATTTCCAGAATTTGCTTATCATAATAGCATGATAATTCCTATAGTGTAACAATATCTGAGTGGTAAGACATGCATCTTATATTTGCGATAAGCATAGCTGATGGGAATATGCGCTTACAGGTTTCCTTGTCCTCCAGGGAAGTGATCGGAAGAACATACTGGTTATCCTTGGTTGATTTTCATCGCTGTATGGGTGACGCAGACCAACAGACGAATGATGTGGCCGTTGAAAGTCACTTGATAAATCTTTGCGTCGGTCGAGTGCTCAGATTGGTTTGTGAGCAACCAATAACTCCCGGTTTTTCACGCGATAGTTTCGCCATCTATTTTTCTGATGCCCAATTTTTGCTCCAAGCAGATTGGTGCAGTGGCCTAAGCACGAGTTAGGTTTTAAGTGATAGTCATCTTCCCGCAGCAAGAACCACATCCTCTCTCATCTCTCATCCATCTGAGCCCGATGTCAGTCCGTCACACCTAAGGTCCGA